TTTTATTGAGGCAATAAAGTTTTCTCACCCTTTGTGCCTCCTCTGTTTCAGTTTCTGACAGTTTCTATTCTCCATCAAACTAAAGCCTAAAGCTATCTAGCGGTACATTAGGCTACAATGCTCCAGTCTGCACATCCATCCACATCTTAACCTCCTCACAATCCTTCATGCTTCACCATTCAGTGTATACACACTAAATCTTCTTTCTAACACACATTCTGTAGTTTGCTGTAGATGATATCTGAGAATTAAACTATTGGATTAAGATTCTTGTATTACTGACCAATAATAAAAAGCAAGAAATCTGCTCTTCAGTAATATAGATTGTCAAGGACTAAATGTACTGTACGTATTACATTACATCTTTGTTGATAAAGATTTGAATGAATAACCTTATTTCAGTGGTAACTTACAGTCTGAGGTGGCGCAAAGTGACAGATCCTGGCGAGTGTGTAGATTTGTAAGTAACCTATGGTGGCCTTGGTTACCATAGGTTAACCTTTGCCCCCCAAATCATTTGAAGAAACTAAACTTTTAAGCGGGCAGCACGGTGGCGCAACTGGTAGAGCTGCTGCCTCTCAGCAAGCAGGTCCCTGGTTCAAACCCCGGTCCAGGGGCCTTTCTGGGTGGAGTTTGCATGTTCTCTCCGTGCATGCGTCGGTTTTCTCCGGGTGCTCCGGTTTCCTCCCACAGACCAAAAACATGCATGTTAGGCTGATTGGTAACTCTAAATTGTCCCTAGGTGTGAGTGACAGAGTGAATGGTTGTTTGTCTCTATGTGGCCCTGTGATGGACTTGCGACCCGTCCAGGGTGTACCCCGCCCCTCGAACAGTGATTGCTGGACATGGGCACCAGCGACCCCCGTGACCCAAAATGGAATAAGTGGGTAAAGATAATGGATGGATGGATGGAAACTTTTAAGCGACATGAAAAGTTGAAATCATTTTTCCCTGAAATGACTGGAGTGGCCAGTTTACATGTACATATGGCGATGGCCATCTTGGATGTTGGCATGGCAACCCAATTTTTAACATCCCCTACATGGAGTCAGACACCAAAATGGAAGTCGGCACTTGCTTATTTTTCAAGTTATCCAGCTCACAAGGTGAACCGAACGGACGGTACTTCCAATGGCTCCATGACGGGCGGACAATAATACAATGAAAATGTTGAGTCAGACCCAGTATTTACGCGCTGTAATTTAACAAAGTAAAATCATCAAAGTACAACAGATCAGAATGAAATACAAAATAAATGTAAAAGTAAAGGTTGTGATCATGCTTCTGTGAATCAAGTGTATTGAGCGTAAAACCACTAAAGATTTCATGAACATTCGTGCACACGAGTGCATCAAGCCATCTTCTTCCAGCTGACTTTACCAAAGGCAGGTCGATGAAAGGTAATGCACTGAAATTCTCCCGCACACTGACAGCATACTTCTGAACTCTGCCCACTCTGACTCTGCAGAAAGCTCCCATCCTGTAGGCTCCTTCCGTGTTTCTGTAAATGTCACCTACTGTCGCTGGAATACAGTCACTCAGTGCAGCCTGAACAAAAAGAGGCTCTGTGCTTACAAAGTTTCATCTGCATGTGCGCTGTAAATACAAGCAGATCTGCAAGGGGCAGTTCTCACGAGATCTAAATGACAAACAGCACGTGACACAAACTATACTAACCACATTTTGTTATATCAACTGTATAAGACCAAATGAAATGTTCAAGCTGCTGTCATCGTCTTTTTACAATCACCGTGGTAACCACACACTTGTCTCTCACTCAGTGACATCAATGTAAGCGACAGAGGGAAGCAAAGTGAAAAGCAAGCCTGGAGCATGCGGTCACTGTGCACAAAGTACAAGTCGCAGCTTAAAAAATCTTGAATCATGAGCGGCGGAAAACTTTTGATAGTAAAACATGCCAAGTTTGATGCTTGTATTTTATGTATGATGTTAAAAAGACACTCACTTACAGCTTTGAAGATATTTGAGGTAAACGATAACTAAAGTCTGTGGGAGTCTGAGGGAATTCAAGAGCATACCAAGAGTCGAGACGTTTTCTTGTATAATTTGTACATTTCCAAATTGTGGGAGTGAGAAGAGCAAAAGATTAGAACGTTTTGTTATAAATGTAGTGCCATCACCAACTCAACTGAACATCCAATGGAAAATACCGCAAACATAATCACAGTGACTGTGCAAAAACGTAAAAGGAACCAAAACACCAGTTCAGTCTTGCAAACTCAAACTTTCTGTGACCCTTTGAAATTATCGGCGATACTGCCACAGTGGGAGCTCTAAAGAAGGCCGGGTGTTCTCACCTGATTCAGCCAAAATCCCACTGTTGTCTATTTTCCAAAGTTTGGGGCAAATGTTCACAAAGTACGACATACCACTACCCAAAATCATAGCACACCGTCTGAGCCGACTGTCTTGATGCATAATTTGCGCCCCCCCCCCCCCCCCTTCAAAGCCATAACAAAAATTGTGATGGAAATGAAACTAAACTGTAAGGTGCTTCAGCTCTTTGGCACCCCTAAAGCAAGATGTCTATAAAATCCAGTTCTTCATGTTGAATGCTATATACTGGATGCTTTGTTGCAGTAGTTACAAATATGGTGAAATTTCACCTGCAAAATTAACACAATGTGTGTCTAGGTCAATCCAAGACCTCAGCTGGTCTAAAACCATTGGTGTGCTGCAGCTGCTTGTCTAAAGGGGGGGGGGGGGGGGGACAATCATTCCTCTCCACTCTGTAAGAAACTTTAGTCTAAAGCCAGTTATTCTAAGAGCTGCACAAACGGGAAATAAACATTTAACAAGTCAGATCCAAGCTTGCCCCCTCCTACATAAAAGTCCCAGCACTGGCATCAGTAGTGTAGTCAAATATGTGATACGTGGGTATTCGGAGTATACCTACTAGAAAAGCTTGGGAATTTCAGTATACCCACGTAAAAGTGTCCAGTGACACATGTTCACGTCACGTATCACTGACAATGAAACATGACATGGGCTCGTGTCACCGTCAACACATTTGGAACATTTTATAAACACACTGAGTCGGTTCAACCTATTTTTTTTGTATAATTAATACTTCTGTACTTATTACTTAATACTGGAACCTGTTTTGCTGTGATACTGTTTTACAAATTCTACAAGTTTTTAATACAAAGCCAACTGTTGTACAAAGTTTTTCTTCATTTATTCAAATAAAAGCATCAGAGAAACTTCGAAATGTTCAATATGAGTACAAATAACACTAAAAAAAATAGGGGTGCACCGATTTCCTTAATTTTGGGAGATTGGAAATCGGCCGATACTTACACGAGAAACCGATTTTTTTTGTAGTTTTAACAACAATTGTCTAAACTTCATTTATATTTCAGAGCACTACCTCATGGACAGTTAAAACAAGTTTGTATTGTTCTAGGATATTGTTCTAGGATATGATTGTCAATACAACAAGACTGGAAAATTGAAGGTGCATTGTGACCTTACAACGCCTGACAGTGTCGCTTAGAAAACTAAATCTGTATCGGCAGATCGTGCTTTTTAGAGATCGTGATCGGCAAGAAAACTGCACCCCTGAAAATCAAAAAGAATTAACGATTGCATTGTGAACTAACCGGTGTGCTTTTCTTTCTAAGCACAGTATACCCAGTACAAAAGTGTAGACTACACCACTGGGTCCCACAGACCAGCATCTTAAGTCTAATGTTTTTCTGCATACCTTTCCTACTTGCAGCTTACTTTTTCATTCGTCACTTCAGGAAGCAATGTGACGAACCACAGCTGAGAGAGAGAAGTCCTGCCTCAGACTTCCTTTGTTCTGTTTTCTAACAAAGTTACCAAAACTCAAGAAAAGGGTCCAGCGTCCAAACTCCCAAAGACAGTGGTCCAAGCCCCTAAAGTGAAGGGATGACAGCCGTTTGGTGAGTTCAGCAAGAAAGTTCAGCTGAGCCCTCCTGCAGTGGATGAATCCAGCTGAAGAGCTGCAGTAAACAAGCCCTGCATTGTGTTGGTCTCTTACCGAGGTGGATCCAGAGGACGATGCTATGTACACTTTGATCACCATGTTAGATGCTGCCACGAAAAACAAGACGCGCTGTGCTGTGCAGGAGGGTGGAGCAGCTGTGGAGCCGAAAGGTGGAGGAAACACGAACTGCACAATGACAACAGCTAACTCGGAGGCGGGGGAGCTGCACGTCTGCTCTTGGCATCGCAGAACTTCTCTCTGCAGAACGCTTGTTCTCAGCAGCGGATGCAGCTTCCACATTCCGCCTCCTCCGCCCCGCCCCTTCTCCTCTCTCTCCGCTCAACACGCACGCGCGCGCGCGCGCCGAGGGCTGTCAAGATGGCAACGCACCGAGGTTATATTGTCTGAATATTTCAGCATCGACCTCTTTTGTCTGGGAGCCAGACTGTGCCCATTGTTGTGGAGCAGCAGAGAGTAAACGCTGCAGTCACTCTGTGTGAGTGGATTAAAAAGTAATGTGCTGTGATTTTTTTATTCTTCTTCTTCTTTATAGCCATTCTTTGTGTAACAGCAAAGCCACTTCTCATTAGACAGGCTCTGTGGCCCCCTGCAGGCCTCTGCTGCAGAAGGACATACTTTTTTTTTTTTTTAATACCGAAACGAATTAAAAAAAAAAAAAACGATTGACAAAAAAAAAAAGTGTCCTAGAGGAGTGGGCGCCATATTGTTGCTGATTTATTGTGATAGTTCTGCGCTGATCTAGAGGGGGATGCACGGCTTTTGTACGCCGGGGCTCGGCAGCCCGTCGCCGGGGCTTGAGTAAAGCGAGCCTCCAGGCTCAACCGTGCGGCCTCCGCCCTCACTGTGCGCCTCTCCATTCTGTAGGCTTCCTCCCATCTCTTGCCTGCAAGAAGAAGCCATTCGAGCCCAGAACATCACCGGCTCCAAAATTCCGAGTGTTCTGCGGGGCCGAATGGCGTCACCTGATTGGCCCGAGCGCCCATCAATCATCGTTTAGCCGCACCCCTCCCCCCATTCAACCACTCTCCTCTCTGTTCCAGTGTGTTTACTACACTGCCGAGCATAAGGGGAGACACTCGTCTTCACATGCACTGATCCCACTGAGGAAAACAGCTTTTAGTCGTATTTGTAAGAAAACCTCCAAGAGATCAACATGCCCAAAAGAAAGGTACGTAATCTCAAAGTAATACAAATATTCCGAGGCGGATATCGGCTGTTAATCCAATGCAAACGACCGGGAAGACATCCCTCTGAGACATTACTTAATTATAACGCAGCGAATACGCGTTTTTATTCGCTGGTAATTTTTGCCTGCTGTCCAGATATTATGTAAATTTTTTTTGTGTTGGAATTTTTATTTTCCTGCGCGGCCACGGTCTTAAAAAAAGGCGGCGTTTGAGCGCGAGCCGCTGTCCTTTTGAGAGCGGAGTGTCGGGCTCCATGCACTGAAGCACAAGCAGCAGCCATGCTTTGCAGCTCTTGTCCAACCTTCGTCGCGCGACCTGTCGAGAACAAACGGCTCGCTTGTCGCCGTTCGGCCGCCGACGAGGCTGCGGCGGCGCCAGAAAATGCTCCGGTGCCCCTTCTTCGCGTTTCGACCGCGAAAGCGAACATTGGCGGCAGCGTTGCGTTAAAATTATATATTTTCTGTCTTTGTTCGTGGACTCCAAACGGCTGCTGTGGCGGCGCTCGGCCGCGCGGGGGCGCTCGCGAGCCCCGCGGCAGGTTCCTCCCCCTTCTGAGAGTCTCCCGCGCCAAGCGTTCAAACCTGAGCTCCATGCTTTGAATGGGAGGAAGAAGTGTGTCGGGGAGGGACCAGCAGGGCCTGGACCCTCACAATGTGGCTCCAGAGACCCGCATGGCTGAACTCTCAGAGCCCGCCACTGAACCCAGACCTTCACCAAACATTTGCTCCCTCTCACCCAAATAATCCACCTGTGTTTGACACATGTTCTCATTTTCACCCGCGCCTCGAAAGTCTTCCCTGAAAGTCCGTAACTGATCATTGTGTGAAACGTAAACGTCATTTTTCATCACGAAGGCTGTTTATTGTTTATTTTCTTGTTTTTTTTACCTGATGTGTTTGTGTGTTTCAGGCACAGGGATCAGAAGGAGGAGAAAAGGAGGAGGTAAGAGTTGCTGACGTTTCACACATAATATATATATATATATTTTTTTTATGTTTATTACGTCCGTCCTTTGTCAAATAAAATCCTTGTGATGAAAGTCTTTGTTTATTTCAGCCCCAGAGGAGATCGGCTCGGTTATCAGCGGTAAGGAAAAGATGCGCCTGAACACCCTCCACTTAAAACTAGAAAAGTGTTTAGAAATACTCGTCGTTATCCGAGTTTTACTTTGACGTGATGAAATTAAATGACACAACTTGGATTATAACGACACTAAATGGGTAAATCCGTCAAAAGAACCTTGAATCACACTTAAAGTACATTAATATGAGTTCAAGTAGGTTTTATTGTCGTTACATCACATGAGGTGGAACGAAATTATGTCCACAGGGTCCCAGTTACAGCCACAAATATAAAAAGAAACTGAATAAAGATGAGATATAAAGTTTAAAATGCAGGTAATTATTGTTCAATATAACAATACAAAGTGAATGAGCTGGTATTTTGCATCGAAACCATCCATGTAGCTTTGAAGCAAACTTATAAAACTTTTCTACTTGCTCTGTTGTGATCGACATATTCAGGATTCTTAGGGAGTTACGTAAGCACCAACGAGTGAAGTCTTTTTACTCGACACAACGATATGGTCAAGTTTTAGGATGAAACTCGAGCTATATTCTGTTAGTGAACAGAAGTTGAACGTTTCTGTTGAACCCTCTCTCCTCAGAAACCGGCCCCTCCAAAACCAGAACCAAAAGCCAAGAAGGCGGCGAAGGTGAGCGCAGCTGAAAACGACGAGAAGTCCCCGCGTTGTCTTTGACCGGTCCGTCTCGTAAAAACTTTTTTTTTTCTATTATTGTTTATTACGAAATAGAAAGAAAAGGCTGTGAACGACAAGAAGGAGGACAAGAAGACCAAGAAGGCGAAGGAGAACGCCGAGGCAGAGGCCAACGAGGAGAACCACTCTGAGAACGGAGAGGCCAAAACCAACGAGGTGACGCTGAGCACGCGCTCGCGAGACGACGTCCGGGCGACAGAAGCGCTTCATTCGTTTCTTGTTTCTGCTCACGTCCGCAGGTGGAGGCGGCCCCCGAGGAGCCCCAGGAGGAGGCCAAGTCCGAGTAGCACCACTGCCCACACCTTCCTCCTTCAGACCCCCGCCCTCAAACCAGCTCTTTTCCTCCCCGAGTCTCTCACATGGTTTCCCTCCAAGGCGTATTGTTAACAGATGAATATTTTTATCAATGATTTTATAAGTATCCGTACAGATTTTTAGCACAAAAAGCATCGCTGGGAAAGTGGCACCTTGCAGATGTGCAGTGGTCATATCAGGTGTCTGCAAGCAAGAAAACCACACTAAAAATCTTTTTTAAACGGCATTTCATGATTGTTCAAGGTTTGTTTGGTAAAGAAAGCGTGTCCCTGCCGGATCGGCCATGTCATGAGTCGTGTATTACCGTGTTTTTAGTTGTTTTCTTTGTTTGTTCCCCTCCTTCCTCGCTTTGTCCCAGCTTCCTCCGCTGATTAGTCGATCTTCCCCCCCCCTGACAGTTCATCTTTTATTAACGGGCCATCTTAACGTGGGTGATTCTTTTTAGACCTCTAAATGTGCAGTGAGTTCCCTTTGCGTTTTCTTTTCATGGTCTGTTTCGTTTCTCCCCCCCCCCCCCTCTCCTCGTTTTCCACTGAGATCGTGTTATAAACAAAAAAAGAAGTGTGTTTTAAGTGTGTTGTCCATAAGAAAGAGGAAGACGAACATGTGAAACATTCCGGGAACAGCGATCGCCTCCGACCCGTCTCCTAGACGACCCTGCGTGGAAGAAAACAGCTTCTGCTCCATCTGGGCTGTGGTGTCAGCTTTTCTAAACGCTCACTTTTTCTTTTATCTATCTTTTTTTTTTTTTTTTTTTTTTTTTTTTTAAAGATTGAATTTGGAATCCTCTAATAAATGCAGGTGTCTGGTCCCTCTCTTATGTTCTGAAATTCTCTTAATAAAAACAAGTCCTGGGAATTTTCCTCGAATCTGCGTCTCCGGTTTGGTTCTTAAGGCAAAAAGATTCTTGCCGCGTTTTTAAAAGCGGAGCCTGAAATGCAAAACGAACGCCCTCGAGGGAGATGGTTCACATCAGACCATTAATGTGATGGAGGTCAAGTCAGCCAGGTTCAAGATTTCCTCATATAAGTCCTACTTGTTGCTGTTAAATGTTCCAGTCAGGACACAAAGGCCTTTAGAACAACCGTACGATCCTTGTTATAAATACACAAGTTCCTATTTTCTGTTTCCACTTGTATTAAACTTGATACCGTGCGTGGATGCTGTTGATTATGTCCTAAAGCTGAAGGATCACCAGCTGATTCAACATGCCAGACATGTCTGGTCCACGTCTTCTGCCTGAGCAAAGTGAAAGTATTTTTGTGCACGTGCCTCCAGCACTAACTGGGTCCTGTCACGTCATTTTAAACCATGCTCACACGTGCGGCCTTACAAAGTCATTTTCAGTGAAGAATCATGATTTGAGAGGGTTTTTTTTGCTGTTTTTTTAAACATTTAATTGTTTTTTAAGTCGTGAATCACGGTGTGAACCTTCCACGGACCCACGCTCGTTTTAATCCTTTCTTCCGCCTTCATGCGGCTTCTCTGACCTGCATTGTCATGGCGAGGCACCGGCTCCATTTTGTCGATCACTTCCGTGTAACATGCTGTGACACCTGTCTGCCACTAGATGGAGGTGTTGTCTCACCTGACTGACAGCATGGGGTTCTGTGTAAAGCAATAAAACTGCAGGCCAAACATTCATTGAAGGAACGTATATAATAACCCTCTGCATTTCATGTCAGACTTTTAAACATGTACGATCTGAACTAATGATCTGATGATGAAATACAGAGTTAGAGCTGATTTGATTAGAACCTTGTACTTTGTAAATAACGTGTTATTTTGCAAGATCTCTATCTGGAAATGTGTTAGTATGTGTTTACTCTCAGCTTAGGCATTCTTGACGTTCATCCATTCATCATCTTTACCCACTTCTTCCTTTTCAGGTCGTGGAGGTCACTGCTGTCCATATCCAGCAGTCACTGCGAGGGGTGGAGTACACCCTGGACAGGTCTCCAGTCCATCACAGAGACACATAGAGACAAACAACCATTCACTCTCACTCACATCTAGAGACAGTTTAGAGTTGCCAATCAGCCTAACATGCATGGTCTGTGTTTATTTCTGGTTATCTTAGTTTCCTGATGCATGCTCAATAATCATGCTTAATAATGATAATAATAGTCATGCTTTAGTTGGCAGCTCAGAACACCACATACAGAACACCATGGACTTTGTGGATAAGGTGAGGGATGTCATCATGGAGACTGATGAAACAATGGTCTCTTTTTATGTCACATCACCCTTTACTTCCTGTTGATGATGCAGTAGATGTGGTCAGTTTAAGATTAATACATACAACATGAGTGATCACTGGTCAATGGGTCAACATGCAGTGGAAGTTCTGCTGTTCTTCTCATCTGGTTCTGGTCCATGAACAACTGGTTGAACCTCCTTCAGTCTCACACGTCCTCACTGTGTCTCTGTGAACTGTCCTCTCTCTAAATGTGCCTGTAGAGTGACATTAGTTTATTTTCTTGTACATTTCTTTGACATTTAAACATTTTGAGCCCTGATTGAAAATGTTTGTGCAGATTAAATTTACAGCTCTCACTTTGTGTTGTTGTGATGATGATGATGATGATGGTGCTGCTGCTGACTTGAGATGATGTCATTAATAAACAGTATAAATGGCAGTAAAAGTACTTTATTAAAGCTTGTTTTACATTTTACATATTTTATAATAAATTGTTTGGTAATTTATTTTTGCACAATTAACACTTATTTTGTCATCTGTTATGATTTTAACGAGAAACAGTTTCATTTAAATTAACATTTTAATCAATGAATTACAATTTTACAATAGTTGTCAGGCTACAAGCACAATCAACTCAGTTATCAGGTACTTGGTTGCCATAAAAAAACGACAAATACAACAATTATATTCAGGTCTCTCTTGTAAATGAGTCCTCGTGGCTCAATGGGACAAACCTGTTTAAATAAAGGTTGAATTAATATCTTCTATAGAAATCAATAATTCATCCAGATGATCTAAGGTAAGCTGGAGCAGATCTGAACTGCTGCATGGAGGACAAGATGGAGCATTCTCATGCAGAGAACATCAGAAATATCTTTATAACAGGTGTTACTCTGATCTTTTTTTACGTGTGTAACATTATAAAACACTGACATGACTATATTGATCGTTGTATTGCATAGACTTTTTTTTCTAACAAATATGTGTTTGTAGTCTCGTTTCCTTCTAAAATTTAATGATAAAATCTTGTTTCACTTTAAAATTTGATGATAAATGTATCAGCCGCGTCTAAAAATGCTTTGATAAAATGCATAGTCTGTGAAATAATCAATAATTTTGTTCGTTACTTCTCAATAATTACTAAAAGACGTCAGGTAAAGTAAGAAAAGTCGATTTTTGTGTTATGTTGCGCCAGCAGCCGCTCAAACTGACTGACAGCGATGAGCTGTTTGGAACTATTGAGAGCTGCATGAACCACGTGACCGCGTATCTGCGAGTTCAAAGAGTGTCGCACCTCTCTCTTTACAGGGCTCTGGGTCTACTGTAACCTTACCCAGTTGTAGGGTCAAGAGACAAACATGCAGCATTAACACAGTATGAACAAGATTCAGAAATTGTTTCTATAAGAACAATATCAAATATTTTACATGAACGGTAAGATCGCTTCGCCTATAAGGAAATGTAAAGTTTGGTACGAACACCAGCATCCTCACCACCATTTATAGTTGCACCATTGAGAGCCTGGTGACAGGCTGCATCACAGGGTGGTACATGAACTGCACAAGTCAGAGCAGGAAAGCTCTACAGAGGGTGGTGCAAACAGCAGAGGACATCACTGGTAGCAGTCTCCACACCATCCAGGACATCTACCACAGCCGATGTCTGTGTAAAGCATGCAGCATCATTAAGGATCACACCCACCCAGCACAAGGATTCTTCTTTCTACTAACGTGTTCACCCCCAGTGGGGGCTCGTCCCACAGATTCAGGGAGAAAAACAGCTTGCATTGAGTGCTTTCCCTGGTGGCCATTAGATCCACATTAGCCCTGCCAAATCTGGACCAAATCTGAAGAGTCAGGTCCGAGTTAAGGTACCAATCCTTCTCCTGAGGTCTGCTCCTGGACATGATATCAGCCCCTCTGTTTAGCACCCCAGCAATGTAAACAGCTCTGATGGAACGGAGATGTTCGTGTGTCCAGCAGAGCAACTCTCTGGCCGCGTCCACCAGCTGAGCCAACTGAACGCCCCCTTGGTGATTTATGTAGGCTGTTGTGGTTCTGTTGTCCGTGTGTACCATCATGTGATGATCACGAAGCATCAGGGCAAAGTGTTTGATTACTTTTCACACAGTAATCAGCTCCAGCATGTGTATGTGGAAAGACGTGTGTTCCACCCACTGTCTGGGACAGACATATCCCCCCACCCTCCCCCCCAGCCTGAGAGGGATGCGTCCGTGAACATGGAAATGAATGACGTTATGCTGCCCAGGGGAACCCCTTTCAGGAGTTTCTGAGGGTAATTATTTGAAACTTGTGGCAATAGGGGTCGAGACGTTGACGATTGAACCATCTCTAAAGCCTTCTCATGTGACGTAAACCCAGCGGGACAACAACATGAGTCACTGACATCATCCCGAGCAGCGTCATGAATGTCAGTGCAATTGCCGATTTGTGGACCGTGACTAGTTGGAGCAGTGATGTCAGGGATTCCCTCCTCTGGCGCGACAAGCAGGCTGTCATGGTGACTGAGTTCAGGTCTACTCCCAGATACGTGATGAGCTGAGAGAGGATCATTGAGCATTTTCCCCAATTTGTTGTGAAATCCAGATGAGACAAATGTGACACCAGAGTGCTCATCTGGGTCTCCGCTTCCTCTCTGGACTGGGTCAGGAGAAGCAGATCGTCCAGATAAAAGAGAACCCTCATCCCTGTTGTGCGGAGCAGATACAGTGCCGTTTCCATGCACTTCGAGAACGTGCGCGGGACGAGTGAATAGCCAAAGGAGAGCCTGTTGTAATGGTACCTGACCCCCTTGAAAGAGAAGCGCAGGGATTTTCTGTCATTTCTTTATTGTTGGGATATGAAAATATGCATCTTTCAAATCCATGAGTTGAATCAGTCCCCCCCGCCTGACGTATTCGAGCACACGTTTTATTGTCAGCATATAAAACGGTCGCTCTGCAATAAATTATTGAACAGTGACAGGCCCAGAATGGGTCTCAAACCCTCTGACTTTTTCGGAACCAGGAAGTACCGGGAGTAAAAGCTGGTTTCTTCCTCCTTGGGAGTGACTTCTGAAACCATGTCTTTTATCAGACGCTCCCTCAGCTTGGTCTGTAAAACTTGGCCCTGTTCTGGGGATGTTAACCGAGTTTCCAGAACACTGCAGAACCTCGGGGGAGCACCTGCAAACTGTTGTGTGTGGCCCTTTGTGATTAAATGGCGCATCCATTTCGACATCTGACACAAATGCCTCCAAGCGGAGCTGCGCTCTGAGAGCATGAGCATGTGTTGTGCTTGGAAGAAGACAGGGATGTCTGTCACTCCCACACTGACCATCTGTGGCTGGATGAAGAGGATGTGTGGAATGAGTTGATGAGTAAAATGAGCGCCACTTAGGAGGAGGCTCGTCTTCATCTTCCTCCTGCACCGTTAGGTGAGGAGGGGGACTGACGGCTGAGAAGAGCTCCCACGCAGAACGAGTGTCCTTACTGTGGATTCATAGCTGATCTGAGTAAGGTCCGGGATGGTTCGGCATCTTAAGATACCCTGACCATCCGGCATGCCCGAGAGCTTGTCCTCAGCATTTCTTTTCACCGTCAGGTGGAGAGAGGATGCTGAAGGAGGAGGAAAAAGGTCTGCATGGGGAACGCGTGTTCTCACCATGGGT